TCCGTGAGCTTTTTGCCCGTCGCGGACTTCTTGTCCTTCCGAGGTGATGGCAGTCATTTGCACGGTCGCCCCCCCCCCCCCCCTCGCACCCAAGGGCATTCGATAAATGTTCCCCCCACTGGGGGGGTGACTTTCTCTGCCGCGCTCCTCATCGACCCTCCTGGCCCCGTGGTGCGGGGGAAAACTTCTCCCCCCCTGCCTCCGCGGTCTTGGCAGCCGCCCCCGTCGTCTCGGCCTTAGTCTCAGCGTCGCCGCCGTCGGAGTGGTCGCTCTCGCCGTTGGAGCGGTCGCCTAACGTCGTCGGGCTCCCGCCGTATCTTTTCTCGGCTTGCCCCCTTTCGGATGCGCGAAGATTGCGCCCCTGGCCTCCTCCGCGGAGACGGAGATCGCGCGCCGCCCGACCTCTGGCGCGCCAGGTGCGCTGGAAGCAGTGACATCGCCGATCGGAAGGGCTGCTTGCGTCGACGGCTGGCGTCGCTTGTAGATGATGGCCCCGGCGCCGCTGCGGTTCGCCCTCTCGGCGAGCTGCAGCGCGAGGTCCACCGGCGACGCCGCTGTCAACGCCTCGAGCCTCGCTTTGCTCTCGCGCGCGGGGGCGCCGGCCGCCGGCGCGAGGAACTGCGCGGCGTCGAGCGGCGAGCCCGCGGGGCCAGCTTTGCTGAACACCCGAGTGTAGACCTCGCCGCGGGCCCCGGCAAAATCTGCCGGGCCCGCGGGGGGCGCCGCCGCGCAAGACGGCTCTGCAGCGGCCGGGTGCTTGCGCTCCTTCCACGGGATGAGCTCCCCGACGTAAGTCTTCGCCTTCTTGGAGAAGCCCCAGGGGGCCGCGGGGCACTGGCGCAGCGCCCAATCGACGCCCTGCACCTGCAAGGCGACGCAGGTCGCCGTCTGGACCGTCGGCTCGCTTGCGGCGCGCCACCCGAGGGCCATGCAGTGCTGGGGCGCGACCTCGAAGCGGCCCAGGAAGTCGTTGCCTTCGTCCGGGATGGCCCCCTGCTGCTTCGCCGCCAGGTAGGCGGCGATGGTAGTGAACTCATGCCGGGGCGCGCGCGACGAGCTGAGCAGTTGCTGGCTCGCCGCCGCGCTAGCCTGTAGCGCCCTCGCCGAGGCCGTCGCGACCGAGGCGATCACCGCGAGGAGCTCCCCCCGCTTCTTCTCGCGGAAGGGCAGCTCGGAGATCGCCGCCGCGAGCTCGGCGGAGTCTTCGGCGGCAACGAACGCCCGCGACTGCATCGTGGACAACGCCACGGCAGCCTGGGCATTCAGGAGCTCCCGCCGCGCCTCGCTGCCCCGCGGGAGCTTCGCGAGGAAGCTGGCGGCGGCCCTGAGCTGCGCCGGCAACTCTTGGGCGGCCGACATCGCGAGCTGCGCTTGCAGCTCCAGAGCCCTTGTGGCCCTGTGCTGCGCCAGGCCCCCCTGAGCTGCGCCGGCAGCCCCTGCGCCGCAAGGCGCCCGGAGGGGGGCGCGCGCAGCGCTCCGCGGCACGCTGCCCCCGAGGCGCCGATGGGCGCCCTGCGCGCGGCTTGCGGCGCGCGCGACACCGCGCGCGCAGCCAGAACGGCTGCGGCCCTGACGTGCATGTACAACGCGACATCCCACGACCTCCTTCCAGCGATCGCCATCGCTAGCTCCCTCATCAACTTCCCTCTCCTCTTCCTACCTACCTCAAGCGATCGCAATCGCTATCACCCATCAGTTCACAACCTTCCTCAAGCGATCGCCATCGCTATCTCCCCCATCAACTTCCCTCTTTCTTTTCCTCCCTCAAACGATCGCAATCGCTACCATCCATCATCCCACAACCTTCCTAAAACGATCGCTAACGATATCTCCTTCATCAACTTCCTTCTCTTCTTTCTTCCTCAAGCGATCGCAATCGCTACCCTCCATCATCCCATTACCCTCCTCAAGCGATCGCTATCGCCATCGCTCTCATCAGCTCTCCTCTCCTCTTCCCCCACAGTGTTCCCCAAGCGATCGCTATCGCTATCCCCTCCATCAACTTCCATCTGCTCTTCCTCCTTCAAGCGATCGCAATCGCTACCCCCCATCATCCCACAACCGTCCTCAAGCGATCGCTATCGCTATTCCTCATGCTCTGGAGGAGAGGAGCAGGATGAGGCGGAGGCAGAACAAGGAAGAGAAGGGGGCCAGGGAGGTTTGAGCGACGATGGTCAATGTACTTGGCGATGCGCGCTGGCGCGCCTGCACGGCTGTGCTGCGACAAGCCCTCTCCTTCCTCCGTTCCTCGTTCACCCCGCCAGGCATTCACTTGCCACGGCAGCGACCCGCGAACTAATTAGGTAGGGGGGCCTGTTCCAGGCGCGCGCGAGTCGCGGAAAGGGGGTTGACTGGAGCACGGGTTTAACTGATGCAGAAGTGCTAGTTAGTAGGGCTGGGTTACTTACTACTCAAAACAACTATGTTGTTTAGTGCTACGCAATAGGTAACTTAGCTCGCTGCCCAGAAGAAGACACATATACTTATAAGTAACAGAAGTGTAGTTACGATGCCAAACGATCACTTGCACCATCTACACAGTTCTTACTCACCTTGCGGCACTTACACTCGAACAAAAGTAACTTCAGCCCAGCCACAATCAGCCCTCAAGTAGCATAGGAAGCTCCAGCTTCTAAGCAGCCCCAGCTCCGGCCCCAGTCCCAGCTCCGGCCCTGGCCCCTGCCCCAACTCCTGCACCGGCCCCGCCCCGACCCCGGCCAGGCCGCACCCCGGCCTTGGCCCTGGCCCTGGGCCCAGCCCCGGCCTTGGCCTTGGCCCCGGCCCCGGGCCCGGGTCCCCGGCCACAGCCCCGGCCCATGCCCGCGCCAGCCGAGGGCCCCGGCCCCGGCCCTGGCCCAGAGAGCGAAACCGGGGCACTGTCCGAAACCGGGCACTGGCCGTGGCGGGCCCCGGCCCTTCCCCACGAAATCGGTCCCCCCCGTTTCCAGACAGCGAAACCGCGAAGCGGGGTCTCCCCTGCCTGGGCCCCTTCCAGGGTATTTCAAGTGGTCGAAAACGGGGCACGGCCCCCTCCCCGAGCAAAGTCACGCCCCCCTCCGAAAACGGAGCACGCTCCCCCCCTCCGTTCCCTTCCAGAGCCTCCCCCCCGAAAACAGAACACGCCGCCCATTGCCTTCCCTGGGCGAGACCACGGACGCCGCCAGAAAGCGGGACATGGCCCCATCCTCTTCCCTTTCCAGGGCCCCCCCCGCCCGAAAACCAGAAAACCAGACGCCCCCCCCCCCCCGCGCCAGAGCGAAACGGGTCACGCCCCTTTCCTTCCCCTTTCCAGGGCCCCCCCTCGCACTTCTTGAAAACGGGATACGCCCCCCCTCTTTTCCAGAGCGAAACCAGCTGAGGTTCTACAGCCGATGGCGATCAAGGCTTAAGTCGGGCCTGTCCCCCTACATAGGCATTCTCGACGAAAAACCAAACATACCCCAAACATAATCCAAACATAGTCCAAAATTATCCCGGCAAAGCAACCTAACAGCGATATGTAGAAGCATATCTGAAAGCATTCCCCTTAAGATTCAGATGAAAATCCAGTTGTAGAATTCTGCTGTTCTCGCAGTCGTAGTCGCATTCGCGATGACAGTCGCAGCGGCAACGGCAGTCGCAGTCACAGCCTCAGCCTCAGCCTGCCTCAGCCTCAGCCTCAGCCTGCCTCAGCCTCAGCCTGCCTCAGCCTCAGCCTCAGCCTGCTTCAGCCTCAGCCTCAGTCTGCCTTCAGCCTCGGCCTCAGCCTCAGCCTGCCTCAGCCTCAGCCTGCATCAGCCTCAGCCTCAGCCTCAGCCTGCCTCAGCATCAGCCTGCCTCAGCCTCAGCCTGCCTCTGCCTCAGCCTCAGCCTGCTTCAGCCTCAGCCTCAGTCTGCCTTCAGCCTCGGCCAGCCTCAGCCTGCCTCAGCCTCAGCCTGCCTCAGCCTCAGCATCAGCCTGCCTCAGCATTCAAAATGTGGCCCAGGAATGGAGTTCTGGGAACTAGAAGAACACGAAGTGGCCTACAGTTGGCTCCGGGCATTCAAAATCATGCCCAGGAATGGAGTTCTGGGAACTCGAAGACCACGAAGTGGCCTACAGTTGGCTCCGGGCATTCAAAATGTGCCCAGGAATGGAGTTCTGGGAACTTGAAGAGCACGAAGTGGCCTACAGTTGGCTCCGGGCATCCAAAATGTGGCCCGGGAATGGAGTTCTGGGAAATCGAAGAGCACGAAGTGGCCTACAGTTGGCTCCGGGCATCCAAAATGTGGCCCGGGAATGGAGTTCTGGGAGGTCGAAGAGCACGAAGTGTGTGACTGTTGGCGAAAAGCGAGCCCGGCTCTGTTCCCGGTTCTCCAGAATGTGGCCCGGGAATGGAGTTCTGGGAGGTCGAAGAGCACGAAGTGTGTGACTGTTGGCGAAAAACGATTCCCGGCTCTCCTCCCCGGCACCCGCCCAGACCCCCCTGAGGAGTCATGATGCTCTCTTTTGACCCTACTAGAAACCTATCAGCAAACGCTGTTAGGTAAATAGTTTGGGGATTTTATATATATATATATATATATATATATATATACAGGATATGTTTTGAGCATTTGTTTTTCATTTTTCTGTGAAAGTCCCCCTATAGGGGGACACGCCCGACATAAATCAAGGCTCCTTGCGTTTTGATTGACCGGGTTGGCGATTCTGGTATTCAGTTCCACGTGTGCTTGTTCCTCACAAGCGAGGAGGACGAGAGCAGAAAGGGTGGAGGGCAGTGCAGGCCCGGCCCGCTCCTCCTTTGAAGAGGAGCAACGGCATACACATGATGTTCGGGGCTCCGCACGGATTTCTTGGATCGGCGTTGGGCCCCCTTGGTTGCGCCTCCGGCGCCTCCTGGCGCGCTCCTCGCTCCAGGGTGGTGGGGCCTTGCGCCGATCGCAGAGGTCCGCGCGGAGATCCGAGAGCTTCTGCTTGCGCAGCTCTTGCGTCCTCCGCTCCCCCCCCCGTCGCTGCCGCGCCCCGCGCGGCACTGCAGGCCCCGTCCGCTCGCTGGCGTTCCTCCCCGGCGGGGTCGCCCTGATCGCCGGCAGCGACGACGGCATCCTCCGCAGGTACGACATGAGAAGCGGGGAGGAGCCGCCGCCGCGCTCCCCGTCGCCGTGGGTGTCCCTCTCACGAGCGCTCGGCTCCTCTGCGGTGCATCTTCGTGGGGCCGCGCCCGTCCCCCCAAACATGTGTCTTTTGCTGTGCCCGACGCGGGCTCGATGCGCACTCGACGCGGGTCTGGCGTGGATTCGACGCGGAATCTGCGTGGCTTCGACGCGAATTCGACGAGTCCGACATGGCTTCGAGTCGGATTCGACGCGGATGGGGGCTTGACGGGACCGACAAGGTCCCCCGAAGATGCAGCATTTCGTTCCCCTCTGCCTCGACTCGGCCCCCCGCGAGAGTCAAAAATAATGGATCTTCGAGATGAGCGACGCCAGAACAAGAGTTAGTCTGCGCCGACATTGGCGTGTAAGATGCCCGCGTAAGCTCGCGCGAAAACGCCCTCGTCTTCTTGTGGCTTGCGCGCTGGTGGCCCGCGTAAGCCGCGGCGTAAGCTCGCTGTGCCATCTCGGGGAAAACCCGTTTGTTGATTGTAGTCCGCATGGTTTTGAGCCGATTGTCGCGCTCTCGCCCCGGCGGGCCTCTGCCCAACCGAGAGCGGCGCGCGAGGCCCTCCCAGGCAGGCACGGGACAGCCCACCAAAAAGGCCCACTTGAAGGCCCAGAGACCGCCCGCATGCGCCAGCCGCCACCCAGCACAGCGCCTCGTGGCCCCGCGGGGAGCTCCACCGACGGCCCTGCTGGCACCGCCCGCGTGCGCCAGCCGCCGCCCAGCACAGCGCTTCGTGGGCCTGAGAGGGCCCCGAGAGGCCCGAGAGGCCCCCCAGCGACGGCCACGCGAGGGGCCCCAAGAGGGGCCCAAGCCCCTGCGTTTTCTCGCCTCGCGGAGGCCTCCGCCGCTCTACCCTGCCCTCGCCCTCCCTCCTCCCTCCTCCCTCCTCCCTCCTCCCTCCTCCTCCTCCTCCTCCTCCTCCTCCTCCTCCTCCTCCTCCTCCTCCTCCTCCTCCTCCTCCTCCTCCTCCTCCTCCTCCCTCCTCCCTCCTCCCCTCCTCCCTCCTCCCTCCTCCCTCCTCCCTCCTCCTCCCTCCTCCCTCCTCCCCCTCCCTCCTCCTCCCTCCTCCTCCCTCCTCCTCCTCCTCCTCCTCCTCCTCCTCCTCCTCCTCCTCCTCCTCCTCCTCCTCCTCCTCCTCCTCCTCCTCCTCCTCCTCCCCCCCCCCTCCCCCTCCTCTCCTCCTCCCTCCTCCTCCCTCCTCCTCCTCCTCCTCCTCTTCCTCCCCTCCTCCGCCTCCTCTCCTCCACCTCCTCCTCCTCTCCCTCCTCCCTCCTCTTCCTCCTCCTCTCCTCCTCCCCTCCTCCTCATCCTCCTCCTCCTCCTCCTCCTCCACCTCCTCCTCCTCCTCCTCCTCCTCCTCCTCCTCCTAGCCGTTCTGGCACAATCCATTCTTGTGCATGCGATCACCGATCTTCAGAACGGCTGGGTGTTCGCGGGCCAGAGTGGCTCGGACCCCCCTTTCCCTCACGGCGGCGCTGCGATGGCTATTGGTGGCAAGCCTCGTAGCGGCTACGACGCAACCAAGAAGTGGACTTGCGGGCACTGCGGCTGCCGCAAGAACATGGGTCACTACTTGTGGTGCAAGCACTGCGGCAAGAAGTGGACTGAGCCCGTGCCAGGAGACGGGCAGGCCAGAGGAGGAGGAGTTCCCCGTGGAGCGGCTGCTGCTGAAGTCCGTCGTGCTGCAGCAGACGCAGTGTCGGGAAAGACTCCACCCGTGCGGCCTGCCACCGTCCCGACTGCGACCAAGACGGAGTTGCAGCAGCTGGTGGAGCTCAGCGCCAAGGTGGGGGACGCCTCCCTGCTCTCCTTGGCGCAAGAGAGGGTGGCCCAGTTGGAACAAGCCCCTCTGCCCCCGCAGCAACGGGCAGATGCGGCGTTCAAGGAGATCCAGAGGCTCGAGAAGAAGCTGGATCGCGACCTGGACCACGTCCACGGCCTCGAGCGGAAGCTGGCTCAGCAGCGCGCAGACCTGGAGGCCACGCTGCAGGAGCTGGAGCGCTACGATGAAGAATACAAGTCGGCCATCTCAGAGTTGCACCTGTCGGTCACGCTCCATCCGTCGCAGCCACAGGAGGGCCCAGCCGCCCCAGTGTTGCGCCTGCCGGACATCCTGGATGGCAAGGTGTCCTCGCTCGTGCTGGACGATGGCGACATGTTCGGTTTGGCGGAGTTTCAGGACGTCACGCCAGAAGATCTGCGTGAAGCCCAGTCTCGGAAGGAGCAGCTGTCGGAGAGCATCAAGAGTCTCACGGCGGCCCTGTTCGGGGAGGTTCAGTCGAAGTGCGTTGAGCTCAAGAAGAACCACCAGGAGCAGGCCAAGCGGCTCGAGAAGAAGTGGAAGACGGATGCCGAACCTGTTGCTGCGGGTGTACCTGCAGGAGGTGCTGCGGCCGCCGCCGCCTCTGAGGCATCGGGAGCGTCGGCCTCTGTTGCTGAAAGCAAGGCCACCCCAGCGCCGCCTGTCGCCCCTGATGCCCCGCCTTCTAAGCCTGGCGCCTCTGTCCGTGCCCAGGCTCGTGAGGCTATCAGCAGGGCACCGTCCAAGGCGCCCCCCGCTGTCCCAGACGGGAAGGCGCCGCCACCAGCGGGCCCCCCAGCCAAGGGCGCGGCTCGTTCCTAGCCAGACCTGTGCCGTGCCATCACCTTTCTCCTACCCTAGACTCCCTACCTCCTGCCCAGTTTTGGATGCCCCGCGAAACTCGTGTATGCATCGACCTTGGGGCCAAGGAGATTTTGCTGCTGCTCAGGAGTCTATTGAACTGGAGATAGTGACGGCTAACGGCACTGCTTGGAGCTCGCTCAAACAGTTTTTGGGTATTACCTCTGCCCACATCGTGCTCGCCCAGGAGCACAAGCTCATTAGTGCTGAGGACATCAGGAAGGCTTCGGCCTGGTGTGTGCGAAACGGGTGGACAGCCAGCTTCGAACCTGGAACCCTGGGGCCTGGGGGAGGCCCCTCGGCTGGGGTCGGGGTCCTGGTCAGGTCCTTCCTTGGGTTGCACCACCCCGATTTTGGTCCCACGATTCGGCCCCACAGGGCCCTCGGAGCGCTCGTCCACCTCCCAGGTCAGGCCTCTTTCTACATTGTTAGTTTCTACCTACAGGATTGCGTTGGACTTAGTGATTTCAATCAGGATATTATTGCTGGAGTGGCGGCGCGAGCAAAGAGCATTACTGTGCCGTTCGTTGTCGGAGCTGACTTCAACGTGGAGCCCGCCGTGCTAGCAGGCTCGTCTATTCGCAGAAGGATGGGAGCTGAAATTGTGCACCCCCCTGGAGCTTTAGGCACCTGTCGTAGCACTGGGGGCGTGAAGATGTTCGATTTCTTCCTCTGTTGTTCCCGCCTTGCGCAGGCGATCAAGGGCGTGAAGGTAGTGAGTGATTCGGAGTTAGCGACGCATGACCCTGTCTCCCTCACCTTCCACCCCTCCCCCGCGTCTCTCAAGGCTTTGACCTTCCGGCGTCCCCCACCCTTGCCCACCAGCAGGCCCGCGGGGCCGTGCCCCGAGCCCCCTTCCGAGTGGGGAGTTTTGGATCGGCTGGCCTCGCGAGCCCTGGTGGTGGCTGAGAGCGGGGAGACTGATGTGACCCAGTATCATCTGGACACCATCTACAAACATTGGGCCAACACGGCTGAAAAAAGGAGCTCGAAGGGGTATGTCAGTGCCGTCTCTTGCACCACGGTAGTCGTGGGCGCCAAGCGGAGCTGCACTGGGTCAGCGTGCTGCAGTCGGGCACGGCCTCGACGGAAGGTGTTTCGTCGACGTCGCAGGTGGCCTCGCAGCTCCGCTGGCTCAGCAATCGTTTTCGGCTTTGGTTGCAGCTGTACGCCTCAGGAGCGTCGACGGCTGCGCCCGAGCCCCCCTCCTCCCCGCGGTTTGCTCGTAGCAGTTTAATAGAACAAAAACAGTGTCAGGACGCGCCGAGCACAGCTCGGCACGCAGCAGCCATCTTTGCGCCGCGGCTGCTGAGCTTTTCAATCCCCCTGTCAGGCTGGGAGAGTGGAGCGGCCACGCGGCCGCGCTGCTTCAGCGTTGCAGGGATGTCGTCACCCACAGCCCCCCCGGTCAGCCCGTCGTCTATGGGGAACCCGAGTATGCCTTGGATGCGGTCTCCCAGGCCCAAGCTGTGGCCGAGAGTGAACATCGTAATGCTGAGAACCGTAAGTGGGTGTCTTGGCTTAAGACCAATATTGAGTCTGGGGCTCGGCGCGCCCATGGGGTTGTTCGAGGGGCCCCAGCTTGGACCCCCACCACTACCCTCAGCGTCAAAGGTGAAGTTGTTTCGGACCCACAGGCCCTCCTTGAGTCTGAATGTGCTAAGTTTTCTGATCTGTGGCATGCCGAAGACCAGCAGGTTTCCCCGTCGACTGGTGCCAGGTTCGAGGCGCTCGAACCCCTGCCCGAGTTGACCCCAGCTGACCTTCGCCGTGTCTCTAGGTCTTTCCCGAAGCACACGGCCACCTCGGCCGACGGTTTCCATGTTAGCCACTTCCAGCACCTCTCGGATCAGGCCCTTGTCGTCCTCTCCCGCCTCATCGCCACGTTCGAGAAGTCAGGGCACTTGCCAATGCAGATGCGCGTTCTGCTGCTCACCGTGCTTGCCAAGCCAGACGGAGGGCACAGACCGATGTGATTATTCGTGTCAGTTTATCGTCTTTGGGCCTGTGCTCGTCGCGAGTATGCCCGCAGGTTGGAAGTGGCTAACGGCAGGGACTTCTTCGCCGCGGGCTCTTTTGTATCGATCGTGGACACTGTCTGGCGGCAATGCGTTCGAAGTGAGAAAGCTGTTTCGTCCGATTTATGTTCCAGTTCGGTGCTCTGGGACCTTCTCAAGTTTTATGAGTCGGTCGACTTGGATCTGTTATTGCAGCGTTGCCGTCAGCACGGTTTCCCCATGCAGATTGCGAGAGTTTGTGATGTTGCTTACCGCACCTGCCGCTACATCGCCATGAACAGCAGGGTCATCGG